CTCCCTGGTTCCCTGCTCTGCTATCATCCTGCCAGTTGCCAGGAATGAGCACTTGCTGTTTGCCAGTTCTGCGCTGGAGCATTATCTCATGTCCTCACACAAAGAGTCTATTAGGTGCACTTCTCCTTTCTTTTCAGAAGAGAAAGCGGAGGCTGAGAAGGATTAAATGAATTGTCCAAAATCACGATGAAGGCAGAACCGAGAATTGAATTCAGGTCTGTTTAACTCTGATGCTCCTTCTCTTAACCACCACACAGACATCTCTGACTGCGGTGACTCTCTTCTCCCCTTTATTCATTTATTTAACAGTATGTGTTTGGAGAAGAGTGTGGCTTGTGTCTTTCTCAGAGCATGAGGCTGGATTCAAATAAGCATCAGGAGAGGTTTAACTCAAGTGTGCAGAAATGGACTGGTAGGTGTCCAGCAATGACTCCTAGCAAGAGAGCTGCCGAGGTCCCTCTCATGTCAGCCCTTGGACTTTTATGAGCAGAAGGGCTCTCTCTGAGCCCTGAGCCTAAGACCAGCTAGGAAACATGAGGACCAGCCAACTCTTGCTGGACTCTGGTTAGCCTGCCCCCTCCCACCACCACCACCTCAGAGGAGAGGGCCAGGGCCCCATGAGATAAGAGGATACAGGCCCAGGGGAGGAGTCAGAGCTGCCCAAAGGCCTGCAGGAAATCACCCCTTCCTCAAGGGCCGAGAGGGGAATGACTCAGGGCCCACTTGGGGAGTTCCGTTTTTTGCGGCCAGGACCAGGACCGCTGCAGTGAGGCCCTTGGATAAAGTGCTCAGGTTTGCCTGCCCCTGCAGCTCGCCTCAAGAGGCTTTATGAGGTGTGTCTTGGTCTTTCCTCTTCCCCTTTCTGTCACTTCTCTGGAAACAAGTTTGTGCTGCTGGGCTGGTCTCTCGCTCCAACCCCTGTCCAACCCAGGCCAGGTCCTGTGAGAATGAGACAGTGAGACCTGGAGCAAGCTGGGTGTGGGGCAGGTGAGCCAGGGTGCTTCACACCGCAGTTACTGCATCGTTTGCAGGGGCGCTCCAGTTGCTTGGGAGCCAGAGTGGAAACGCGAGGCCTTTCTGTGTGGGAGCGGCCCTGAAGGCTTGTCTTCAGATTAGGACCTGGCATGCACTATGTGATCAGTATTGGACTTGGAAGTTGTATTGTACCCCCAATGTCACACAGATCCAGAGAAGCCATATGGCACCGTGGCAGAGGGAGGGACTCTGAAGTCAGAAAGGCTTGGTTTGAGGTCCAGCCCTGCCCTCACTAGCTAGCAGCTTTGGCTAAGTGACTTACCCTCTCTGAGCCTGATTTCTCTTTGTAAAATAAGGATGATAATACTGGTACCTTCTTAGTAGGGTTGCTGAAGACTGAAGGAATTAGTAGTTACAAAGTGCCTGGAAGAGTGCCTTGCAGCTAAGTACTATGTCAGCGTGAGCTGTTTTTGTTCCTTTAGTGACTGGCATTGCCATTGACTCAGTCATCTAAACAGAAGCTTGGCAGTGATCCTGGACTCTTTCCTCTACTCCCATTTCCAAATCCACTTTATTCTTTCGCCTGTTTTTTCCTGTCCATGCCATTGTTTCTCACCTGTGTGACTGGAATCGTCTCTTATTCCTCTGCTGGTCTTCATTCTTTTTGTCTCATGGCTTTATTGATATGTAATTCCTAAATCCTACAATCCATCTATTTAAACTGTATAATTAAATGAATACTGGTATATTTACAAATATGTGCTGTCAATTTTAGATAATTTTTGTCATCTCAAAGAGAAATTCAGTACCTGTTAGTTCTTATCCTCCTATCCCCCCATTTTCCTCCCAGCTCTAAGTAGCCCTTAAACTACTTTCTATTTCTATGGATTTGCTCTTTCAAGACATTTCATATAAATGAAATACAAGTAGAATGGGTACTCTATTGTGACTCGCTTTTTTCACGTAGCCTGGTATTTTCAAGGCTCATCCATGTTATACCTTTTAGCAGTAATTCATTTTGGTGATTGAATAATAATTCCATTGTATGAATATATCACGTGTTGTTGATTCACTCATCAACTGATAGCTATTTGTGTTATTTCTACTTTTTTGGCTGTTAAGAATAATGTTTCTGTAAACATAGATGTACTGAACTTTTTATGTACACATTTTCGGTTTTTTGTTAGGTGTTGATATTGGTATTGAGCTATAGACCAGTTTGAGAAGTACTATTATCTCAATAATATTAACTCTTCAATTCATAAACCTGAGATGCTTTTCCATTTATTTGACTATGCTGTATTTTCTTTTACCGGTTTTTGTAGCTTCCAGAGCGTAAGTTTTGCACTCTTTGTTAAATTTATTCCTAAACACTATTCCTTTAAATACTATTTTAAATGGAATTTTCTTATTTTCATTTTCAGATTGTTCATTGTAAGTATACAAAAGAAAATGCTTTTGTATATTAATCTTGTAATCTTGTTAAGTTCATTTATCTCTTCTAAAAGTGTTTTAGTGGATTCCAGGGGATTTCCTATGTACTTAATCATGTTATCTGAAATAGAGTTTTACTCATTCTTTCTCAGTGTGGGTGCTGTTTATTTTTCTCGCCTAACTGTCCTGGCCAGGCTGTCCAGTCCAATGTAGAGTAGTGGAGACAACAGGTAACTTCGTCTTATTCCTGATGTTAGGGGGAAGACAGTCTCTCGCTATTAAATAGTGTTGATTTTTGTGACTATCATACATCAGGTTGATGAAATATCCTTCTGTTCTTAGTTTTGTTTTATTCTTGCCTCATGAAAGGATGCTGGACTTCCTTAAGTGCTTGTTCTGTGCCTATTGAGATGATTACATATATAGATTTTTGTTTGTTTGTTTTGTGGACATCATGTCACACCAACCTTTTATCCCAGGGTAAATCCCGTTTGCTTTTGGTATGTAATCCTTTTACATGTTGCTGGATTCGGTTAGTTAATATTTTCTTGAGAATGTTTGTGTCCACATACCTGGCTGTAGTTCTTTTGTCCTATCTTTTCTCTAAGCCTTAGGGTAACACAAACTAAGGATTGAGAATGGAGTTGAGAATTCTGCTTGTTTCTTTTGTGAAACATTGGTCTTAATTATTCTTTAAATTGTTGGTGGAATTCACCAGTGAAGCTGTCTGGGCTTGGAGTATTCCTCTGGACCTTTTTTCTGTTTAATTACTATTAGCCAAATCTCTTCTCTTGTTTTGAGTCTTCTCAGATTTGCCTTTTCTCTTTTTGGGTTAATTTTGATAGTTCTTGTTTTTCTAGGAACTTGTCAATTTCATTTTTTTTTTAATAAAAAACACATGGACAAAAACCTCATCTCTACTCATGCTCCTCTACAATCACCCTCCACACAGTCTTCAGGATCTTTAAAAAAAATGCAAATCTGATCACGGCACTCCCCTGCATGCAGTTCTCCTGTGGTTCCTCTCTGTCCTTGCGTAAAGACCCACCTCCCAGTGCAGCCCGGAGGACTCAGCAAGGGCTGGCCTGGAGGAGCCGCTCTGGCTCCCTACATCACAGGGCTACATTCTCCCTTTGTTCCAGTCACAGTGGACACGTTGTGGCTCCTCAAGACGACATGCGTCAGCGCTGCTGTTTCCTCGGTGGGGCCTTTTCCTCTGGAGAGCTCCTGCTTCTTCATAGCCCAGATTAAAATGTCACTCTCTCCAGAAAACCTTTCCTGACCCCACCTCCTCCCTATGATTCCACGGGCCCCCTCCTTCTCCAAAGCGACAGCACCCTATTTTGTTATTTGTTTGTGTATCTGTCACTCCACAGGGGCCTCTTTGTCTAAACGTGCATCAGTGCCACCAGGGGAATCTTTATAACTCCCACATCCTAAACCTGTCAATAACCCTGCACTAGATCTGAAATGAAGTTTCATTCTAACAAATCCCACCTCTCCTATCCTAGCCTCAGTTAATTTCTTAAATTCAGCACTCCCTTCCCACCCACCATTCAATCCTTTTTTGGAACAGTTGTGATGTTTCTTGCCCTTAACTCCTTGTACTTGTCTATAGTATCACTTCATCTTTTTTAAAGTATGTGTGGACATAAACCTCATCTTCACTATGACTAGGTCCAATGTTGTGAAATGTGCTGTGTCATCTTATTTAGTGCTGACACCACTGAGGTAGTTCTTACCTCAACTTCCTCAATAACATCATTTTCATAGGAGAAAAAGAAGCTCAAGGAGGTGAAGTGACTTGACTAAGATCACACAGGTAGTGAGACAGGAGGGACAAAGGAATCTGCGTGATTCCAGAATCTGCTCTTAATGACAATGGCTTCTTTGAGTTTGACTCACCAAAAAAATATATGGAGCAAGACAGGTCTTCTTTCCTAAGGACCAGTGGGAGTGCCATCGGAGGCCAGCAGTGACAAATCCCAAGGATAACACGGTGACACATCTGAAGGGCTCTGTGGTGTAGTGACAGGGGGCTGGCTTTCAGGACAGGGACCACTTCCCAGAATGCTATGAGGCCCTGAGGGAAGCAGGTCCCACATGACAGGCTAACGTTGGGGATGACTTCTACTTCCTTTTTGGGGGGCCCACAGGCGGGGCAGTGAGGTGGCTGCCAAACCCGGGAAGGCTGTCTGGAGACATGAGGAGGCTTGGGGCTTCCAGACCCCACAAGCATCTGGTGCTGAGGGTTGATGCTCAATGTGCTATGCGGACAGAGCAAAGGATCCTAGACGGGAAGTTACTTAGAGATTCAGGGAGACTTTGTGGTGATGAAGGCTGGACAGCAGGGAAGAGACCAGGGGAAAATTAGAGTTTTTCATTGCCACAAAAATGGGGTTGGGTTAGAGGTAAAGTTATGATAGCATATATTAAAATGGGTCTTCTAGAATATCCTTCATCATAGTGAGCCAGCCCTAACTGAAGACAGGGTAACTAGGGACAGCATACCTTTCCTGGAGAGTTCAGCTTCTCCCTCTTTCTTTCAGCATTTCCCAGGGATGGACCAGCAGTAGAAGGCAGACACTGAATAGAGCTCCTCAGAACATTTATTTGTTCTGGCTACAAGGCCAGGGCAGGAGTAGCTGAATAGGGTTTGTTAGTGTTGGCTTGGGTGAGGCACTGAAGTAGGGTCTGAGTGTGGGGGTAGCAGAAGAGGAACAGTCAACTAGAGGGAAGGGTGTGAAGGGTAGTGGGGCAAGTAAATGCAGGATGCAGGGGCAGCTGCAAAGGATGAGGACCCAACTCCCCTACACAACCCCCTCCCCAGTCCCCTCTTTTCTTCCCTAAGTTAAAAAAACATTCCCGAGGCAGCCCAGGTCAGAGGCTCCAAGGATCAGAAATCACAGGTTGGCGCGTGGGGTCTGCTCTGGCCAGCAGAGCCAGCTTCTGACGGAATGGCAGCTCAGCCCTCCTCAGCTGTAGCGTCAATGCCCGCGTAAGTGAAATTCTCAAACAGCGACATGTTCACATAGGCCTGGGGAGCAGAGTAAGTTTTAGTGGGGATCAAGGTTGGGGGCACTTCTGGCCCAGAGGTCCTTGACTTGCACATGGTTGGGACATTTGAAAGACACCGATTTGTACCAGATACTAAAGATGGCCTCAAGGCAGAGGACAGCCCTTACCCGTCTGGTGCAGTGAGGGCATCAGACCACCGCTGGGCATGCAGGTGGGAGGCCCCTGGCACACCGTCAGACAAGAGTTTGTTCATGCCCTCCCCTGATGACATGCTTGCTCACGCATGCAGCCAATCGTTTGCTCCTCATCTATTCCCAAGGCTACTTTTGAGGACCCACTTATTTACCTGATTGATCCTTCCTTTATGCTTAAGAATGTTTACTAATCCATGTTGTCACCTCACTCACTCATTCATATGAAGAACTCTTCACATGTCTTCATTTTGACATATTTCTCTATTTATACTTGATAATTCATTCACATGGTTACTTAATGGCATGCTTATTTGTATGACTCTTATGACGACTGTATCATTCATCCACTAGTTCTATTCATCCATTCACTCAGTTGCTGTATCATCCCTTCATCCACCCATTGGCTGGCTACCATTCATACGTTCCACTCTGTCTCTGTGCCAGGTGAGGAGAGGGGGCCGAGCTAAGGACATGCTGATGGCCCTGGCAGAAGCACAGACAGGAATTGTAGGACCTGGGGGTGGGATTTGCTGCTGGGGACAAGCCGCGACCTTGAAAGGTTTGGAAGGGCCTAGTGTCTAACCCATGGAAAGCCAGAGAGGGGCTGCATCCTGGAGCCTGTGGGGACTGTGGCAAGAAGCTGCTGCTCTCAGCTTGCTATGATTGGGCAGACACCCCTGTGGGGCTGCCCATCACCCCCAGTCTCCTCACCTTCCTGGCTTCCAGCATTCGGCCCAGCTGCAGTGCGATCTGAGCAAAGGGAGGTCGCTCGTACGGACGGTCCCGCCAGCACTGACGCATCAGCTCGTACCTGCAGATAGGGCACTGCTGAGGTGAGGGGTCAGGACCCACAGAGATGATGGGTCACAGGGCTCAGGGTAGGGTCACTCCTCACGGAGAAGGGCCCTGGGGTCCAGGAGGAGGTGACTCACACTTCGTCATCACAGTTCCGAGGCTGTTCCATGCGGTAGCCCTGAGGCAGCTTCTCATAGAGTTCAGCGCAGGTCATGCCGCAATAGGGTGTGCCTCCTGCAGGGGGAGACAAAGCTCTCCCAGCCCAGGACCCCCGGGGGGGCGGGGGGGGGTTGGGGGCCCTGGGAACTGGAGGTTGGGTACTCACCAAGACTCACGATTTCCCAGAGGAGGACCCCAAAGGACCACCTGAAAGGAGGTTGCATGTAGTTAGCTGCCAGCCCCAGGCCAGCAACTCAGTGTCAGTGTCTCCCCAGGTGTGACGCCCTCCTGGCCTCTGCACGTACTGGGCCTCCACCAGGGGCTGTCTCTGCTCCTTGGAGAGACATTCACAGCCCTCCCAGCTCAAAGGAACTATAGCTCACGTTTCCATCATGCACACTCTGGGCCAGACACAGCTCATTTAGTGCATGCAGTAATTCTTTTAGCCATCACACCAACCCTAGAGGTACTGTCAGTGTCCCTGGTTTACAGATGGAGACGCTGACAGGTTAGCTAGCTTGCCAAAGGTCACACAGCTGGTAAGCGGCAGCGCCATGATGCAAAACCTGGCAGACTGACTCCAAAGTCCTTTCTCTTAACAGTCTCTTGCACTATAAGGACCTCTCTGCTAGAGTCAGGCGACACCAGGGTGGGTGAGTGCCTCATAGGGGGAGGGAACCTGGGGTCCTGGGACAGAGGGGGCAAGCTGGCTTGTGGTGGCCAGAGGGATGTTCTGTGTGGTGGACAGTGAGCCAGGCAGGCCAGGCCAAGGGGCTTGGGGCAAGGAGCAGAGTCAAGGCTAGAGGCCAGGGTAGGCAGGTTCCCTGGTGGGGAGGGTATGCCAAGATGGCTGTCTGGCGAGGGGGGAAGCACAGAGAGGTCTTGGAGGTTAAGTTCTGGCTAACCACCTCAGGCGGTGATGACGCTTCCCTTCAGAGAAGGTGAGAGCGTTTGTAGAGTGGCCTCTCTGCCCACCTGGCATCAGCGGCCAGCATTCCCAACCCTTCCAGTGCACACCTGAGTCAGCAAACTATTGCTGCCCCACTCTTATTCCTGAAACACCCTCCAAGACTAACTTCCTTCCAACTCGTCCTTCCCACTAAGATATGGCATCACCGACATATACCCATGACACACCTGTGTCACACCTCGACACACCTGTGTCACACCTGGACACTCCTGGGAGACACATCCAGGTTAGACCTGCCGGCGTCCTGTGTTACCAAGCCCTCTCCACCCCGTCCCCACTCACACGTCACTCTTGGTGGTATAGACACTGTAGTTCAGAGACTCGATGGCCATCCAGCGCACTGGGAGCCGCCCCTGGGAGCGAGGGATTGAGCGGTTGGGTCAGGAAGAAGGCCTCTGGGGTCAGGCCAGGCCCTGAGGGCGGGGCCTGAGACTCACCATTGTCTTCTTCACATAAACCTCCTCCCCACGAGAAAGGCCAAAGTCTGCAATCTTGGAGGCCAGGTTCTCTCCAACCAGCACATTCCGGGCAGCCAGGTCCCTATGGATGAACTGTGGGCAGGGCCAGAGTTGGGGGAAGCTGGGACCAGTGAGCCCAGGACCCCACACCAGTCTTTGTGGGTGCCTTTTGCGGCATCCTACCCTCCTTCCAACCCCTGGGCCTCATCCTGGATAGGTGAGTCCTGCCTGAGTAGTCAGGCAGGCTGTCGTCCCTCTCTCCCAGGGCCAACCTGGTGGGGCCCGGCCTGCCCCCGTCTCCTGGGGTGGCGGTGGGCCTTCTCCAGTGACCACGCTGCATCGCCCCCTGGGCATGTTCAAGACCTGTTCTCTCTCAGCCTTCCCTTGCCGTCATGGAGGGGGTGGGGAAAGCCCTCTCTCTCCTGGAGTTCTTGGTCCTCAGTGCTCAGCTTTCGTCTTCTTCAGAGCCCTGTCTCCAAGCCCCGCCCTCTGCACTGGCCCCTTGCCCCTGCTTTCAAAGACACTCGGAACTGTCCTAATTTTAAAATGCCTTTTCTGGGATCATGCTCAGTGAAATCCGCCAGAAAGTAAAAGAAAAATACCGTCTGGTTTCTCTTATAGGAGGAATGTAGGGGACCCAAATAAGGGATTGGCGTTGGGGAGGGGGAAGTAATTATTAAAAAGTAAAACCCAAACTCAGCAGGCAACTATAAACCAGAGATATTCTTCGGGGGGTGGGAGAGGGAGAGCATTGGGGGGTGGGAAGAGCACAGGGACCACAGTGATGGGGCATGGCTGAACTGGTGGCAAGAACTTCTTAGGGCCATACACGAGAAGATAGATCATACATTGTATGAAAATGGAAAATGATGTAAAAAATATACTAAAAAATAAAATTAAATTTGAAATAAAACGCCTTTCCTCAGACTCACGTTCTCCACCTTGTACTGTCCCCTCACTCCTTCCGTTCTAGCAGACCCCCACTCTGCTCCCCTCCCCCCCTGGGGGCCCCCCAGCTACTCCCTCACATCACTTCCCAGATTGCAGGCTCTGGTTCAGGCTTCTCACCTGAGTTGTGGGCTGGTGCCTATGACTACTGACTCATCACTGCCACCACGATGTCTCTGGGGTGCTTCGTAGGCAGCACCCCTTCTGGGCCTGCTCCTCGTCTTGTGCCCCTCACTCACGAGGCCAGCAGCCCGGCTCATGTCCCTCTCTCTGCTTCTCTACCCCACAGCCAGTGAGAGCCTGCTGGTTTTAGCTCCTGAAGTTGACTCAGTGACCCCCTTCTTCCCTCTGGCACCCCACGCTCCCAATCTCACAATGCCCACACACCTGCTTCTCACTCAGGTACTGCATGCCGTTGGCAGCGTCGCTGGCAAAACGCAGCAGCTGCCTGGAGCTGAGGGTGGAGGCTGTTCCATGTTCTCGGGCAAAAGCCGGATCTGTTTCTAGGACCCGGCTCTTCCGGAGAAAATCCAGCAGGTTCCCGTAGGGGGCATATTCAATGGCGATATACAGGTAACCTGGCAGATGAGGAGGTAAGTGGTGGTTTATGTGCAGCCTACCTGGGGCGACAGCAGGTGCTCCGTGGAGATAGACAGGGTCAGAAGCAGGAAGAGAACTGGTATCGGTAGCCTGCAGCTCTCAGCCAGCTAGTGATGTGGGGGAGCTGATGCTGAAGATGGGGGTTTGGAAGAAAGGCTAAGTGATGAGTTAGAGGCTCACCTCGGTTCTCACAGGCCCCCAAGAGGTTTATGATGTTGGGGTGATGCCCCAATTTGCACAGAACTTCCAGTTCTCCGGCAAAGTCACGATGGTCATTTTCAGAGGCATATTCTGTGCAAAGAACCCAGAATTAAAAAAGAAAGAAAGAAAGAACCTGATATCATGAATGACAGAAGTAACTCTGAAAAAAGGGAATGGGAATTGAGCTGTGTCAACTGCTGGAGGGAGCCAAGTGGGGCCTGGATTTGTGGACAAGGGAGCAAGTTGGGACTGGGGCCAGGGTCACTCCCAAGGGACCTTTCAGCATCTTGATGGCCGCGTTCATCTTGAGTCCGTCCTTCTTGATCATGGCCCGAATGACCTGGCCGAAGTTGCCCTCCCCAATGAGGTCCTCGAAGGTGATGTCCTCCCATTCCAACACGGGGTAACTCAGGGGCTCGGGCTGTGGTTTGGGCCGCCGGGTCAGCGTCAGGGTTCCTGAGCTGAACTGCAGGATGGTCTCTTCACCCTTCACAAGGTGGGCAGGGGCAGAGAGGCCACACGAGAGACATGAGCCAGCAAGGGGCACTGACAGGTGTGTGAAGAATGGTTAGATGAAAGGACAGAGTCCCAGACACAGGGCACCTGGCAGCAGCTAGGGACAGACACACAGACAGGGGACATGTACTGAGCCAGAATCCCAGGAGACAGAGCCACAGGTGGGTGTCAGGTAGAGGGAGGCACAGACTGGGGGTGCGGGGGCAGGGCTCTGGAAGGGGGAGCGGGCCAAGTTGCTAGAAGTTATGACACAAGCGAGTCAACAGGACTAATGCTTCTAACACTTAAAACTGAAAGGAATTAGCGTGGCCTGCGAAGAGAAGCCGCGAGCCTCCTGTTATTGTACTAATCCCACAACCAGGCTTTTGTCACCAGGGATGCTCTGGAGAGGAGTCTGCTTGGGGCAGGGTACATGCATAGAGCACCTGTTAAGTAGAAAGCCCTGAGCTGCTGTGCACTAGTGGAAGAGACGTATCCCCAAAGCAGGGGCGATAGCTCCCAGCCCTGGCTGTCCCTCGACAGCCCTGGATCTGTGTTAGCATAACACCTCTTGCTGTCTTAGGATGACAGATATGTTACAGGCTCCTTCCGGCTCCTTCGCCCAACACTGGTAGCTGTTACCCTCCCCCACCACAGCAGTGGCTTTCTGTGTGTGCTGACCTCAGAGAGAGGGCCAGTGAACCAATGCAGCCTGGCACAAAGAAGCCAATTGAGTCTCTGAAGGGAGACTTTGAAAGGAAAGCTAGAGACAATAGCCTGGGACACTAGGCTTTCTATCACAAGGGTCAGCCCTTGAGAGAGAAGAGCATTTTTTTTTTTAAATGCCAAAGCTTGGCTATAAACACAAAAGCTTGGTGCTGGAGGGCCGAGGCTAGAGTTCAGTCCTGAGGGACAACAATGGGGGTGATTCCAGGGGAGACAGGACCACCAGGTGGAGAGAGAAAGACAGGTGAAGAAGTGGGAGGGGCTGACAGAGGAGGTGATGTTGGGAACCCGGAAAGGAGCAAGCATCGCGCCTGCACCCCCAAGCCAGCTGGGAGGGCACCACGTGCGGAAGGACACAGGAACCAGGACAGGCACCCAGGGAGGCCAATGGGACTGTGGACGTCCCCCTGCCCCCAGGAGCAAAAGGGGAGCTGCAGGCCTGCTGTGACTCCAGCTGGTAGTGACAGCTGCGGGAGGGGCCGAAGCAGTGGGCCTGGGCCAGGGAAGCACCCAAGTCCTTAAGCCACCCAAAGGGGGGCCTGTGACTCGCAATGGTGGTGGACAGGGTGAAGTGCCCACAGCCTGAGTGGCCTATTAGCAGGAAGCCACGGAAGGGCTGAGCCCAAGTGGAGGTGGAGGTGGGCGGGGGCGACAGAGGCCAGCAGGAAGCCGGCGGCTCCCTAGGCTTAGGTCACTCCCAAGGAAAGGGGAGACTCCAAGTTGATCTTGGGGAAGCGAGGACACACTGAGTTATTCTGAACTGGGGTATTAGACTTTTTACCCCTAATATAAATGAGCTCGTGAGCTGAATTCAGTTCTAGAGAAATAAGGCAAGCTAAATTGTGCGCCCTTGAGTGTGACCTAGTCTTACATGAATCCCCGTGTGGGATTAAATCCCTGAAGAATACAAGCGCATGTGTGCAGTGGTGGAGACGCTTCCACGGGGCCTGCACACCTGTGCCCTGGAGTGGGTAAAGGTGACTGACCGAGCCTGACTGGTAGGTGAAGGTGCGTCTGCGATGCAGGCAGCTCCGGCGGATGCACACAAGGGTCAGGAGGGCGGCCAGGATGGTGAGGCAGGTGGCAGACACAGAACCCACCACCGCCAGTATCAGCTGGTGATCTAGGCCTTCTTCAGCCGCCCGGATCTCCTGCACGGGGCCCTCGCTCTGAAGCCCTGGACACAAAAAAGGTCACCTGGGTGGGGCACCCAAGAGCCACCAAGGCGTCACCCAAAGGGAGAAGTCAGATTGTAGCTCCAGGGAGGGGCAGGATGTCAAGCCCAGGACGAGTGGGTCCCTGGAATGTCAGGACTTTCACTTTCCAGACAGTGAATCATGAAAGGGGAGGGTACCTGGCTTGTTGGCTTGCTGTGGGGGCTGGGAGACAGGGGATCACGTGGAAGGAAGGAGACTGGCCCCCAAGACCCAGGGACCCCCATGAAGCCTGCCCCCTCACCATTGCCCAGGGTGGACTCCTCTACCACGTTGCTCCAGTCGCCGGGCCCCTGGACACTGGCCCGCACCCGGAACAGGTAGTGCGTGCTGGCGTTAAGGTGACGGACGATGGTGCTGGTCTCTTCTGGCCTGTCCACGTCTATCCACAGTGGGTCTCCTGAACCCCCAGCCACCTGCACCTCCACGATGTACTTGGCTATGGGCCCAGCCGGAGTCTCCGGCCGCTGCCATGTCAGTTGGATCTCGGAGTCTGAGAGGGCCTGTGCATGGAGGTGTCGGGGGGCGGGGGGGCCTGGGGAGATGGGGGTGTGAAGGCAGGACTCAGACCGGGCCAGGATATGTGCGGGTCTGACAGATCCTCTCTGCCTCCCTTGCGCTGTGGACCTGGCATGGGAGTCATCCACCGGCCCCCTTCTTCCCCGCCTGGGCCGAGCTCCTCTCCACCCCACAGTCCCTTCTGCTCCCCCTTGTCCTCACGTCCCAGGTCTTCTTGAGGCCCCAGACCCTCCAGGTCTGCTAGTCTTCCCCACGTGTCCACTGTCCTGCGTTCCCCAGTCCCATGTTCTCCCGCTGCTCTGTGGCCCTAGTTTGCCACGTGAACCATCACCCCTGGGCTCTCCTCCACCCCGTGCTCCTGGCACCTGCGTCCCCCCGTTGCGTGTCTCCATGTCTGTGCGTATCCTAGGGCCTCCTTGTGGCCACGTCTTCCTCGTGTCCCGGCTGCTCTCCACGCCGACCCGTCCTCCTACAACCTCACGCCCCGCGGCCCTCCTGTGTCCCCGGCGCCACGTCCTCCCCGCATCCCCAGCCCGCCACCGCCTTCACGAGCGTACCGCTGGGCGGCAGGAGCACGCGTGCGGGGGGCGAGGCCGGGCCCAGGAGGGCGCAGTGGTAGAGCCGCACATCCAGCTGGTAGCTGGTGCCAGGCGTGAGTCCAGTCAGGAGGGCGGTGCGGGCCTGGGGGGACGACACGTTCTCCCGCCGCTCCTGTCCCCGTGTCCCGTCCCACAGGCGCAGCAGGAAACCATCGCCCACCAGTGGCCCAGGCACCGAGGGTAAGGACCAGCTCACTCGCAAGCGGTCAGGGCCCTCCACGTGCCAGCCCTCCAGCCACGGCTGCAGCAAGGGCTCTGGGGCCAGAGATCGAGGGTCAGAGCTTTCCACAGGTCCTTGGGACTGGGTGGGCCAGATCCCCAGTGGAAGGGGTGGGACCTCCGGTGGGCAAGGCAGGGGCCCCTGGGCTGGACATGATGTGACAAGCCTTGCGTGCAGAGGACAGGAACCCTGGGCAGGGAAGGGGTGGCGCTTGGCCTCTCACCAGGACAGTCTGTGGTCATGAGGGTGGGAGGCCCCGGGTCCCCCTCGCCACCTTCCCCTGGCCTGCTCAGCTGCACGCGGACACTGTACCCTGTCTTCGGCCTCAGGTTCATTAGAGTTACATTCTCGCTGGGGTCCACTGGGAGGGGCACACGGCATACATCAGGTAGTTTCAAAACCCTTCCAGAATCCTTGGTCTCCCGTAGCCCGTCTCTTCCCCTTACGCCATCTCCCTCCCCTATCACTGTCCAGCTGCCCTGTCCTGGCCCAGCCCCTCCTGCCCCCAGCTCCCCCCACTCACCCACGATGGCAGACCAGTCCATGGTGCTGTCTTGGGGCCGGTAGTGCAGGCGGACAGAGGTGATGGGCCCGTCCCCAGAGAAGGAGGACAGCGGGGAGACCACAAGCTGGCGACTCTGCTTGGCCAGGAGCCGGGGAGCAGTCAGGGGCACTGGGGGAGCTGCAAGGACACTCAGGGTGAGGCATGGCCCAGACGGCATGCCCAGTTCTCCTGGTGCACTGGGCAGCTTGGCTGGACTTTGGGGGCCCTCTGGGCTGAGGAGGGACCAAGCTTAACAGGTGGCTGGAGAGGCCAGGGCCTAGGAGGCAGAGTGCTGCCCTTGGCAACTCAGGGCACGAGGAGCGGCCACGAGAGCATGTGGGCATCCCAAGAGATGTTAAGCGGGGGAGTGGTAAAGCCAGATCGGTCTTGGGGAGGGCATAATGCCCAAGCATTATGGGGTGGACGGAGGAGCTGAAACCCAAGGCAGAGAGAACCTGGGGTCACCTGTTTTTTGTCCCTTCCCTCAACATTCATCTCTCATAATTAAAAAAAAAAAAAAGAGGAAACGAGTGAGAAAGCATTTATCTGGATGCTTCGGGAGCATAATCTCTAATTCTCACAACTGCCTCTCAGCAGGGCTCACTGCCCTGTTAGGGATGAAGAAACCGAGACACTGAGCACCTTACGGAAGGACACACAGCCGGGCGGAGCTATAGCCAGCTTTGGACTGGGCCTGACCAGGGCACCTAACGCCCGTCGTTTCTACCGCAAGTAGCCTTTATGTTCCTGCCCAGCTTCCTCACTCCACGGTCAGTGCTATGACTACAGCTTTTCTCGCCAGATTATTGCTTTAATGCTTTCACGGGTTCCCTTGCCTCTTCTAAACATTTACCACTAGCTTTTCCAGGAAGAAAGGGAGAAGAGGATGGAGGGCTGGGGGTGGGAGGGCCAAGAAGGATGCAGGCTCTGAGCTGAGAGGCCGGACGGACAGCAGCGTCAGCCTGTCATAGGTCTGATCATAGGTGAGGACACTGCTTGGACCTGGCTTGGGCCCCAGGGAGCAGCCACCCTCCGAGCTCCCTGGCCAGCCGTGAACTCAGAGCGGGGAAGCTGAGTCCAGAGGCAGGTGAAGGCCCCGTCTGTGTGTGGGGTGGTGAGAAAGGCACGGCCAGGCAGCAGGCTGGGCAGGGCTGCAGAGGACCCCTGGCCTCAAGGCCACAGGATATCCTTTGTAGACAGGACTGAGCTGGGCCCTGGCCTTCACACTGCCCAGGCCTCTGGCTATTACAAGTCCTCTCCTGTGTCCGGTGCTGGGCTGGGCCCTTTGATGCCCTTTCTGCTAGGATACCCAATCTGCACACAACGGGGACATGCCCACTCTGCCTGCTCTCCATCCTCCATGGTCCCCGATGTCACTGACCTTTGATGCTGACCTTGAAGCGCCGGCTGTCTTGGCCACCGGACGTTGACACGCGGCACTCCCAGAGCCCACTGTCCGCAAGAGTCACGTTGGACACCTCGAACTCGGCTGTGGTCCTGTCTGGCTCCACGATGGACTTGGTGGACTGGGGGTGGGGGAAGGGGAGAGACAGAGGGAATGTGCACCATGGAGCAGAGGCACATGTGTCTAGACTGACCACAGGGGCCAGCAGCCCCGCAACCATCCAGACCCCATGAGGGCCACAGGTAGGCCAGTGGGTAGAACCTGCAGGAAGTCCTGAGGGGTCAAGGGGCCGGAAGCCTACTGGGAAGCTGGTGGGGGCTCTGGGTCAGGGGTCATGGGCTGACCAGAAGCACAGTGCCATCTGGCTTGCGGAGCTCCATGCTGCCCCGGACTGGGAAGGGGTTCCCTGCAGCTGCACAGTAGATCCGGGGTTTCGTCCTTAAGTTGAACTCCAGGTCTGAGGCCACATCAAGGATCTGGGGGATCCGGTCTGCAGAGAGGAGACACATACCTTGGAGCCCCACAGGCACAGACACGTGACCACCAAAGCGCCCTGACCTGCCTGGTCAGCCACGCAAAGCTAGAAAGCCAGCCAAGTGCCTTTTCCAGGGTCCTTGTTTCCCTGCCTGCTCCCTTCCCCGCCTGCTAGCACAGCTGCTCACATGGCCAAGGGTCCTGCTCGGCCTGGATCCCCAGCCGGTCAGCTGGCTCAGCCCTCCTTTATTCCTGACCTGGGCTACAGATCCTCCTGGCCTCCTGCTTCCACTCTTGTATCTAGAAGCGAGGGAGGGGCTTCCCACAAGTACAGCTTTGACTCTCCTCTACCTCCTCCTCAGTCCCCTCCTGTCCCTGTCATCCGCAGCCTGCCACTTGGTCATTCAGAGGCCCCAGGATTCACCCCTGATGACCACTGCCCCGGCACTTCTTTCTACACTGTCCTGGTAACTAAACCTCAGCCCCTCGGCCTTTGCCCACGCTCCTCGCCCAGACACCTCCTCTGTGCCTTCCTATCGCATCTCAGAACCTGCCTCTTCCCAGAAGCCTTCCCTGCCCTCTCAGGCTGTGGGGGGCCCCCTCTGGGCTGCCCATTGCTGACTGGACGGCATGGCTGGCGGCGAGAACTCCTGCCAGACCTGAGGCGTTGACTTGAGTCGCGGATGTCAGGGCCCCTGTGCTCATACCTGACTTCTCACAGTGCACTCCATGCCACCCGGAGGGGCAGACACAGCCACTGAAGCGGTCACAGGTGCCCCCATTCTGACACTGGCACTGGAGGCGGCAATCGGCCCCAAAATGGCCAGGGGCACAGGCTGGGAAGAGAGGGGGTGTGGTCAGAGGGGCAGAGTCAGGGGGCAGGAGAGCACAGCTGGGCTTGTGTGAAGGCAGAGAAGGGCACTGGCCAGGTGAGCAGGGAGTGAGGAGGGCTTGGTGTGTTAGGGCCAGGGTGAAGACTCAGAGTCCGTGGTGGCTGGGTCAGCCCATACCTTCCTGGCACTGGCTTCCCCTCCAGCCGGATCCACAAGAACAGCCATAGGGGTCAGGGAGGCAGAAGGTGAGGCCCCGGCAGCCTGAGGTGCCTGGGCACTGCTCCTGGCAGCTCTGCCCAAAACGGCCCTCTCTGCAAGCTACAAAGAGAGAACACGTGGGTACGTGGGACCCTGCTGGGCTCCAGGATCAGGGACCTGACCGGCACGCTCACCCTCCAAGCTCTCTCTCCATGGCTGGCATCTTTCCTGCCTGAGGGCCAGGTCCCCCTCGTCCTTACCCTGCTCACAGCGGGTTCCAGTGAATCCAGGGGGGCACACACACTCGCCATCCTGGTCATGGCAGACACCTCCATGCAGGCAGCCTGGGCATTCCTTGGCACAGTCTGGTCCCCAGCGCCCAGCCCCACAGCCTGGAGGAATGTACTTTCAGCAGTGGACCTGACCCACCTGAGCACTGCTGCAGAGGGCTGAAGCAGGCTTGGGGGCCCAGGGGACCCAGGGAGCCCACGGGAAGTGCCCACAGGGTCCCTGGCCTCCCACACCACCCATGACCCTCTGCCCCTGACCCCTCACGATGAGCCGAAAGAAGGCGCTGCCCAGTGGGCTGGCTTCCAGGTAGGTGGCACTGTAGATGCCACTCGATGGTGGCTGCACATTTGGGAGCTTCAGAAGGAACCGCCCATCCTGGGCCTCATGCCAGTCCAGGGTATAGAAGTAGGATCCTGGGGACACAACCCGGTCGGGGTCCTCAGCAGCACGTGACAGCAGTGCGCCTCCCGCCACCCACTCTGTCTCGTCCTAGCAATGTGCACGGCAAGCACAGTGATCACACCGGGAGAGAGGCTGGGCAGGCGTCTGTACCCACGCCAGAGAGCTGGGAAACAGTCCCCTCCAGGCCCTGCCAGCCCCACAGCCTACCTTCTCCTTCTCCCCAGTTCCTAAGGCGTCCACCGCTCTCCACCCAGGGCCACAGCCCGGGCCCAGCCTCCCCGAGCCTCCTAAGCAGCGCCTGCCTCCAAAGTGCCCCTTTGCATCTGGCCTGCTCTCACAGCTCGTGTGGGTTTTCTCCGCTAGATTTCCGAGTTCTGGGCCCACACTCTTCAGCGAGGCACGACTGCCCTCAGAACACCCAGCCCCTCAACACGCTCCTCTCAGCAACCCCTCAGGCCTCACACCTCTCCATCCCGGACCCAGCCCCCACGTTCCTGCATTCCACCTCTCCATCCCGGACCCAGCCCCCACGTTCCTGCATTCCGGAATTGCTTCTTTGTCTTCTAGGAACACCAGGGCATTTCAGAGCTTCCTGCTTTTGCCCTTATCCATGCTTGGAGAATGTCCTTCCCCCTTTCTCTGCCTGGATAATTCCCCCTCCTCTGAGAACTCTGGACTTTCTCCCAGGAGCCTCCCCCCACCCCCAGACCAGAGAACCCTGACAACAGAAAAGCACCCAGCTCTTGCCCCACCTCTTCTCACCTCTTTGTTCAGGATGGAACAGATGCTAGGGAGCCCAATTCTAGCTAATTCTCTACATCTTTTTCTTTCAGCAGCGGGGCTTAGGAGGCAAACCCCTTGGGCCAAGGTGGGGAGGCCTCTCCTCCCTTAGGAGCCCAGGGGTCCAGGTGATGAGGACTAAGATGGGCATCTTTGAGGTCACACAGGAAAATGGCTTCCTCCCACCAGGTGACCAGAGTTCTGACAGGGCCAAGGTGGAGGCAGGCTGGGCCGAGAACCCAGGTCCACCCAGGCCTCTGCACAAGACCGGACAGGTCTCTTGGGAGAGGTCCACTGCCCCCTGTCTGTGTCAGGGACAGTTTTCCCTGCTATGTGACAGTTAAATGCCAGCAGACAGCCAAAGGTGAGGGCTTAACATGGTACAGACTTGCAGATGACGGGAAGGAGGTAGGTGGCCACAGAGGCTGCCCATCTGCTGGGGGAGGCAGGAGGGCAGCTTCAGAGCTGCAGATGAGGTGGGCGCAGGTGTCCAGGACAGAAGCTGGGCCCTGGAGTTTGGCCAGGAGGTCAACGGGTGTATAGGGGTGACAGGCATGCTAAGGCACCAAAGTTAGGGAGACCGAGGGCCCTGGAGGTGTGTGAGTATCTGACCCCTCCAGCTGGATACTCCTCTCACCGTTGCTCTTCCAGATCACGTCTGTCTGCTTCTCCTTCCGCACACGTGCGGAGAGCACAGCTGTGTCGCCTTTGTTCACTGTGTAGGTGACCTTGTCAGGGTGCAGGTGAGCTGCCAGTGGAGGGTGAGGTCAGAGTCCACAGCAGCCCCTGCTCCCAGCTCCTTCCCCTGCCGGAGACTCACCTCCTGGGCTGTTGTGCACGTAGACGACACGAGTGCGCTGCGCCCCCGCGCCCCCCACGCAGGAGAAGACGCCCACGAGGTCGGAGGGCTGTGAGAAGCCGCGCAGCGTGAGCTGGTGCGAGCCGTTGCGGGCCGGGCGCGGGCGCTGCCTGGGCGGCGGCGTGCGCACGATGCGATCGTCCTTCTCCAGCAACAGCGGTGGGCCCCAGGCGTCCGAGCCGCGGCCCGCGCCAGCCTCCCCGGACACGCAGGTCAGGAAGAAACGCTGGGGCTCGGTGAGACGCAGGTCGGCCAGCAGCGTCAGGTCCACAGCCGCGCCTGGGACGGGACACAGACCTGGATCCCAGCGGGCGCCCCCCCCACACCCCCACCCATCTCGGCATCCGGCTTCAGGCATTTCCCTCCTCTTCCTGTCCCTTCCCTGGGCACAGACCCTGTCCCTCAAGTCTCCACATCCTAAAATAACAAAACAAGCCCTTTCTCTAGTCTTTGGTCCCCTCCCTTCTCTGCCAGATGGCTTCCCTTTGCAGCCCAGCTTTGGAAAGAATGATCTATGCTCCCTGTCTCCGTTTCCTCACTTTTTATTGCCTATCACTCCCCTTTCCTGATGTGTCTAAGGCAGCTTTTCCAGAGGAGCCCTCTCTCAGCCCCCCACCAGGAGGGTGCAGGCTGGGAGGGGGAGGGGAGCAGGACAGAACTGTCACTGCAGACCCTAGACAGCTTGGCTAAGCAGGATTCCAGGGGCTGCTTCTGTAGTGGGTGGCCTGGCCCAGAGAAGGGGTTGGGACAGGAGGACAGGCCCCGAGCAGGCCTGCGCCCCCACACAGTGTGTCTTGGGTAGAGCCCTTGGCACACCCCCCAGTGTGCCAAACTGGGGGTACAGACATATGTGTCAGATACAGGGCACAGAGAAGGAGCATCTAACTCAGTGTTGGGAGACAAGAGTGAGGCAATGCTCCTGGGAGATAAAGCCTGAGGGCCTAGGAGCTGACAGTTCACAGTGGGGTGCAGAAATGCAGAAGGTGGGTGGAGGGTGGGGGCTGGGAGGGGAAGGTGAATGGTAGGACAGGGCAGAGGGAGCAGCCTGAGTCTAAGCACAGATTGAAAACACAACTAGTTGAAGCACCGCATTATAAATCTTTCCGAGCCACTGCAGTGTGAGTTTAATCCCCAGCCAGGGAGCTGATCCACATGGCGCAGCAGACCTCTCCTGACCAGCCCGCTGCTCCTTCAGCAGTGTGCTTCATCAATCTGCCTGTTCTGCTCCCTACTTGCTCTGGGTGAATCCTCTCACCGCCCCTACACCTCTGGTCTGTACCCCAGTTCTGTATGCATAAATAAATAAATCTTTAAAAAAAAAAAAAAAGAAAAACATTAGGATGCAGAGTGGGGGGATGTCCAAGTTTGGTGAGGCTGGAGCATGTGATGTGGGCTGAGAGTGGGGGGCTAGCAATTCAGGAGGACTGGTCAGAGGGAGGACTGCTCAGAGGGAGAACTCCTTGGAGGGAGGATCTTTCTGGAGGAGCATCATGCAGCATCCTTCCAGACTTCCCAGCCCCTCCTTCTCTGACCCTTTGTTAAGTGCCCAGTGATCAGTCTGAAGGCCACTAGCGATGATCCCCGTCGGGGGACCAGGGAATGGAAGTAGCATCCGCGTGTGCCAAGCTCCTGTTGCCCATTGGCTCTTCACCCCTCGCTGAAGCCCATGCCTTTGTGTTTATAGAGGAGGGTGGTAATCATTAGTCTCCAGGCTTCCTGGAGCAAGCTCATCCAGTCCTTTGTCTTTAACTCTCAGCGCTGAGTCTCAACCCAGGCCTGTGTTTCATCAGCTTTCCCTAACCTGCCTCTCTCCTATGCTCGCTGACTCAACATCAGCCACACGAGACGTACACGTTGGAGTCATCTTGTATTCCCACTGTCGGACTAATTTAAGTTTATTGGCAGCCAGTTATATACCAGGCAGTTTACTTATGTCCTATCATTTTATCACAGCAGCTGTCCCGGGAGGTGGGTGTTATTACCTAATTTTACAGCCAGAGGAGGAAGCCCCAGGGAAGTAGAGTGTCCAAGGCCACGCGGTTAGTAATCAGCAGAGGTAGGCTGCCTGACTCTACAGCCCACATTTTAAAGCTAAACATTATGCTGGCTGCCCCCAATCAGCCCCCACATTCCACAAATGCTGTTTTCTCAAAGCTCTTGGTTTTCTCTCCATCACCCACATCCACCTTTATTTCTCCCTCAGCTTTATTGGCCAGGACTGTCCCGAAAGCCACACTCCTCCTTCCTCAACTGATCCTCCAAAGGAATTACTGACACCTGAGGACTCGTGGGCCCACAACCTCCGGTGGCTCCTGTTGTCTTCAGAAGGAGGTCTGTGCTCTCAAGCTCCATGCTGCTCACACTCTGACCCTCCTGCCTGTTTCCTCCTGGAACCTTCTCTTCCATGCACATCCAGACCTCTGAGATTTGCTCTATTGTTTGGGCTGCCTACAATGAAGACTGCCTCTCTTTCCTGACACCCTTCCCCCAGCCACCCTGACGTAGAGTAAGATGATTTCTCCTCATGGCTCTCGGGAGCTCCTTGTGTCTTGTCTTTTTAGCCCTCACCCCATGACCTATGTCCCCCAATTACATCATGAGCCACTCAGAGGTGGCCTGGGTGTCTAATGTTCTTTGGCCAGCACACTGACGGAATCAGCTAGAGCTTACTCAGAGGCCTTACCAAGTGCCAGGCTCTGTGCCAAGCACTCTGCATAAATTACCTCATTTAAACTCCATAACAGCCATGGGAGGTGAGCATCATTTAATCTCATTGTATGATCTGGAGGCTGCCTGCCTCTTAGCTAATGGCCTACCACTTAGCACAGCTCTCATATTGTTGATAAATGTTTGCCAAATAAATAATTGAGTGATTCCAAACACACTAGCCACATGAGCACACCCTGAAAACTCTTAGGCCCTGGTGCTCCCCACTAATCCTAAGATCCCATAGCGTCAACAATTGCTACCCTACCCCACTCCTCCTCCCACATCCTAGGCCACAGTGATTTCTAGAGTCTATCTAGGTTTTCCTGGCCCAGATCTCCCTTTTATCTGGTCAGGGTGTGGGGGGAAGTGATGGTGGTGAAGATACGGTTTTCTGGGGGCAAATCAGGGCCTGGGGGCCAGGGGTGGGGGTGCTCAGGGGAAACTTACCAACATGAGAAGCCAGGAAGAGAATGGGGAGCAGCAAAGAGGGCCTCAGCCAGACCATACTCTGGAGGCTGACCAGGCCGGCCAGAACAAGCTGGGCCCACGGTCAGCTACGCTGGGTCTGGCTACTTTCTCAGCCTGCACTGTTAGTGTGTATTGGTGCTGAGGAGGAAAAGGAAGTGAGGTGGCCTGGGTGGGAGGCGTGGTAGGGGAGAAGGGTGGGGAGGGCTTAACCTTCTGAGCCTCTAGGCCTTCCATCCTGGCCCCTACAAGCCTGGGGCGGGGTGTGGCCTGGATGGCCCTGGTCAGTTGAGCTGGGGGGAGCTGCAGTAAGGACTGACCCAAAGATGGTTGCACTGACTTTCCATGCCCTTTTCTTGCCTCTGTCCGTCCGTCCAGAGGCTCACAGGAGGCAGGAAAGGGAGGAAGCCAGTGGCTTCCGTCTTTTGAGGAGGGATGGGGGAAGGTATTGTTCTTGGGTCTCCCCACCCCCCAGCACAGATATACAATACAGTCGCATAGTTCTTGGCATTTGCACCCCAGGACAGTTCCAAATGTGACCTAGAGAGCAGTTCGTGTATGTAAGGTAAAGCTATTAGTGGGCCTGGGAATGTGCACACTCAAAAAAACCAAAAAACTCACCTTGGTGGCAAAAAAGGATCTTGGCTCTCATCTTATGTAACCCAATTTCGCATGGGAAAGCTGGGGTGTGCCAGAGGGTGTTCTGACTTGTGGCTCCTGGAGGGCAGGCATTGAGCAGACCCAGGGGAGCAGGTAGGGACTGATGCGCTTACATTTGCAGTCCTCAGCTCACACTGCTAACTGCCCACCGACGTCACTGGTTTTGCAGCAGATCCTGGCCAGTCCCCACACTTTTGAGGGCTGATGACAACCTGGGAGCAGCCTATTGGCAAAGCCTCCACACCACCACACATCTTGCCTCTGCTGTGCCCCTCACCTCCCCTTGCCCTGGCGCCATCCAGTCCCTGGCAGTTCCCAGAACAGAGCGTGACCTACAGGTTCGTGCCAGAGGGAGGAGGGTGAGGTCGGTCCTTGCTGGGAACAGAGGGAGAAGCCGCGGAACCATCAGGTGGCTGGGGCCATCTGGTTAAGTCTGTGGCTTCTCCATCAAGAGTGGAGTCATCGGGGTGCAGATGAAACCTGGTACCAACACAGGTGGCTTGGGTTTGGGAGGCCAAACCCTCTGTCTCCCCAGCACCTCTTCCTGGGTGGACTTAGCCTGGAACCGTCAGGCTCCAGTTCACTGTCCTGGGGTAATCAGGCCCCTACAGCCTGGCTGAAAATTCCTGAAAGACCTAGGAGAAGCTTTCACTCTTTGTGTGGCATGAAGAGACTCCAGGGAGTAACCCCACCCTTGAGGTTCGCAGGTGCCCCATTCTTAGGGTGAAGCTGGAAGAGCTCTCTCCAGACAAGTTGCGGGTGGGAGTGGGATGGGGTGGGGGTGTGTGACTGACGCCTTAAACTTCTACTCATGCTGGTGCCAGGTCTTGCACAGCATGACCTGGCACAAAGACACTGCCAGGAAAGGCTGGGACAGTCTGTCTGGTGTGGTTGTGGGCACAGTACACTTTTGTGCGACTTTTCTCTTGATTCTGGGAAAGCCTGGTGGGCCTGATGTCATCTTGCAAATGTAGAGAGCTTTTGGGCAGCATCTGTTTTCTGGAAAATGGCACAGATAATGCCACAGGTGTTTGCTCCGAGTGAAGTTTGGAGATGCTGGACACTGGGACACTTGCAAACACCGAGAGCTTCATCTGCCTTCCCCACTTTCAACTGGGAAACAAAACTCAGTAGTAATGATCCATAGATAAATCCCAGTGGAAATTCTGCAGCATTTGCACAGGAAGATCTGTCTATACAACCATACCCTACAAGTAAGTGTGAAAGTGTATTTTTACATGCTTTGATAGTGTTTTGCAAATAATTTGAATACCATATGTTTACAAACAGTATGTCTCACGAAGTATCACTATACAGGCAAAGTTTGAGTGGGTTGTGTGTACATCTGCTGTTACAATAGGAAACTTGAATCATGGTGCATATTTTAAAGCCTCGGTCACTGGAAAATCATATAGGCCAAAATGGTATTATAGGCCAAAAGGAATGATAATGCAAATATTCAGTTCTGCAGATCATGAGGTTCGACTCAAACTGTTAAATCAGGAAGAGATAATTTATATATATGAAAAAAAAAAAGCCAAAATAACAGCACAACCAACTCTATAGGGCTGATAATTCACTGTGCACAGTCACCTTTGTTTAAATACTGGGAATTCAGCTGGCACATGTGGGCACCTACAGAAGTTTTGCCACGTTGCTTGAGGTTTAATGTGCAGCCAGGCTTCCTTGTGGAACTCTGAAATAGAGTTTAGTAAACTCTACCTGCCAATTTTAGGTCCTGATGCCACATTTTAGTGGCCTTCATTTAGAATGTTACTAGTAACTAGTCTGAGTCGGTCATTGCTCGTCCATCACAACAGAGGAAAGCACTTGATTCAGAAGCGTCCAGGACCCATCAAGATAGGTCTGTGTTTGCTGCATGGTGTCAATTCTTTCATGTGAGACTGAACACAGTTGTAGATTTTTTGTAGCTTCTTTTGGAGTCGCCTGGGTGGTGTATGAGCAACAGAAATGTTTGTCACATATATGGTGGCTGGAAATCAAAGATTGCAATGCCAGCATGGTCAGGTCAGCAGCAGGTTTCTTGTTGGTGGAGGCTGTTTGCATGGAGGATGTGCTGAGGGCTGTGGACTTGCATGGAGGGTCTGTGTGGGGGTACAGACTGAGTGAAGTAAGTGAGTATAGAAGGGGAGGGGTGCAAGCTTGGATTTTGAGGTGTTTCTCTTGGACAAGAGTTTTTTCTTCAAGTGTGGGTTTAAAGGGGGTGCAGAAAATACTTGTTTTGAAGTTGAATATAGAAGAGGTGGGGAGCAATTTCTCATACCTCACTAATCAATCACCATACTTATACTTTTTATATCAAGATTAACTCAAAAGTATCAGTTATTGGCCCTCCCTGGTGGTGCATCGGGTTAAAGCACAGCATTATGAAGCTAGCAGCTTTAGCATGAGTTCTATCCCTGGCCAGGGAGCTGACCCACACGGCACAGCAGAGCTCTCCTGTCTCACCCGCTGCTCCGCTTAACAGTATATTTCAGACCATCTGCATGTTCTACTGCCTACTCTGTCTCTGGTGAACCCTCTCACCGCCCCTGCACCTCTGGCCTATACCCCAGTTCTGTATGCACAAATAAATGAATCTTTAAAAAAAATTGAGCAAATTTACTATATTAAAAAACTCCAAAATGAAAAAATAAAAGGCAAATGTTAAAAAGTATTTGTAATGGTCCTCCCTGGTGGCGCAGCAGGGGGGAGCTCTGCACTGAGGAGCTAAGCTAAGCCAAGCCGTGGCCACTTCAGTGCACAGTCAATCCCCTAAGGTGACTCACATGGTGTTAAAGCACTATGAAGCTAGCCACAGCTAGTTAAGCACTAGTTTGATCCCACCCAGGGAGGTGGCCCACATGGTGCAGCAGACTTTTCCTGTCTCACCCGATGCTCCCCTCAGCTGCACACTTTGTCAATCTGCCTGTTCTGCTCCCACTCTGTTTCTGGTGAATCCTCTCACCATCCCTGCAACTCTGGTCTGTACCCCATTTCTGTACGCATACATAAATAAAACCTTTAAAAAAATATTTGTAACACATGTTGCGGATTGTAAAAGAGCAGTAAAAATGCATAAAACCCAATAGCTAAGTGGGCAGGAGAACATAAAAAAGACAATATGTTAACACATAATTTCATGATTTATGAAAAACTTAACTAAAAGTAAATATATGGTCCTTTAGCATAAAAAACATGCTCATCCTCACTTGTTATAGGAGTTATACAAATAAAACTCTTTCTGATTACCATTTTCACCTATCAGTTTTGCAATGGGAAGTTTTACAACATACAGGCCTGATGAGGCCGTGGGGAAACTGGCACAGAGTCACCTGCTTGCTGTTGGTCTGACCCCTGGAGATAATTTGGGACTATCCACCTACGATCACAACCACATCTGCTCTGACTCGAGTGACATTCTTGGAGATGACTTGCACAGGGACACCTGCATTGTACAGGACGTTCAGGCTTCTCATTGCAGCACCATATGGGCCAGCAGAAGATGGGACACAACCCAAGTGTCAGTCAGCACGGGGCTGGTTAGGTAAATTTTGATGTAGCCATATGAGGTGGTATTGTGCAACTTTAAAAGGGGTTGAAGAAACTCTTGGAGTCTATACAACGATTTTAAAAATTTCTCTAAGACACTTTCATGAGTTAAAAAGTTAAAAAAAAAAACAAGAGGTAGAATAATGTCAATAGTATGTGGGCTTTTGCCAAAGGCAGAATAAAAATACATATGCATACTGCTTGTATTTGTATAAAGTGACTGGAAAAATAGACCAATAATTAACAGGGATGCGAGGAATAGGATAGATGGGAGCAGGGGACCAGAAACAAGAACTTTCACTGCATAACTTTTATATTTTTATGATCTCTGATCTACCATATTACTGCTTTGAGAATAAAATACGGCCCGATTGCATCTGATCTCAGAAGCTAAGCAGGGTCGGGCCTGGTTAGTACTTGGATGGGAGAATAAACTACAATTAATTTGAAATAAAGGCAACTCAGCTCTTCACGATTATTTTCTTACTTGAAAAAAAAGCAAAAGTCTTTTTCTACACTTGCAGGCTCAGCAGCATACATGTCTGCTTGTGGTAGTGAGTTCCCCGTGGGAGGGACTACTTGGCTGCAAATCAGTTGAAGTTTTATTACTTTTAATTTTTCTTTGATTTGAGGAGGGCCATTCCCTCTCTTACCATAGTGGACTGGGCTCGCAGTTGTCCAAGGGATCCTCATGTTCATTCGGGACAGAAAAGTTCAATTCCCCAAGGTCTACCGGTTTTAACAGATGGCTCAGACAAGAAGCTGATTTACACTCCTTCCATGGCTCTGCTCTTCCATGCTCTACTGCCCTGTGACTTCAATTTTTTTTAAAGATTTATTTATTTATGCATAAAGTACTAGGGTACAGGCCAGAGGTTCAGGGCAGTGAGAGGCTTCACCAGAGACAGAGTGGGGAGCAGAACAGGTAGATCCACGAAGTACACTGCTGTGGGGAGTAGCGGGCGGGTCAGGAGAGGTCTGCTGTGCCACATGGATCACCTCCTAGG